CGGCTTTCCCTGATCGCAAATTCGGCGGCCGTGAACGATAATACTGGCAGACTGTACTGTGAAACAGGCAATATCATATCGATGCGAAAGAGTCATGCATCCACGAGATTCGTTGTTCTAAGCCGAGCGATCATTTAAGGCGCCCGTCTGCTCTCTTGCATCATGACCACAGCAACGCTTTACGTCGCTTATTGGATAAGTGATAAATAGACAAGTGTAGGCTTCCAGGACAATCTCGGGTCATCCAGACTCAAGAGTGCGAGCTCAAAGAGGATGCTGGATTTAGGCACGCGGCTGTTGCTAATGTAGAACTATCAATAGGAATGACAGACAGACGTACAGATAGGGCAAGAAGCGATGGTAGCTGACGCGAACTGAAAGAATGGAGTCTCGGCAGCTTTTCAGATTAAAAAAACTACAGTATAAAATATTATTCTTTGTGTTTGACGGGCTCATATAGTACGCAGAGCGTGTTTCAAGATTATAAGAATGTGAACATTGCTGCATAATTACAGCGGCAGAATTGAAGGACATCCTCTTATGTCGAGACCTAGCTTTCATCTAGTATTCAAGTTTCTGCCTTCGTCAATGACAATTCTCCCTAATTCCTGGAATATTTTGATTAATTATTTAGTAAAAGAGAATAGAGCAGATTAGAAGAGGCGGTGACTATATTTACACCTGACGACGTGTATAGAATGCAGCTTTGAATGAAACGCAAAAGGCGAACGCTATAAGCCACTATAATTAATCGTTCTCAAGACGAAGAGCATCAACAGATAGCTTCAATGGATACCAACTCTAGAGATGGAGTCGATAGTCAGCTCGGCAGTTCTGTCTTATACTAGAACGAGGAGTTGAAAACACTCTCGCTCACAGCTATACAAACGTTAGGCACAGACTCTGGTGTTGCTCCGGTGCAGGACAGCGCAACGTGACTGTGAAGCTGTTTTTGGACTCCTGGATGAATATTTGCATAACGCCAACCGATTCTCGCGCCTCTATTCTGAGCGGCTCGATATAACAAGGAGAGAGTATAAGCCCAGTATTATGCTGAAAGCAGGGACTACTCGCATGCTGGACACCAAGTCGCGGCTGTATAGACGTCGCAGGAACCCCCTCTGGAATACAATCGGCCTGCTTATCTAATATACGCCCTGTCTGACGCGCACGGAACCGAGCCTCTTTCCGCTCGGAACAGCAACCAGGGAGATCCGACTATACATACACGCAACAAACAGACTAACGGAGCGCTTTCGCAAGCAGCGAGGATGAGTGAGCAATGACCTGAGCTCACCCCACTTGGTGGTTCTGGGTTTCGTGATAACGGAGAACCCTCCCTGTCTGGCTACTGTGCTATTGCTGTGGTGGATGGTTGAAAGGCAAGCTGACTCCAGATCAGTTCAGACTGGGCCATAAGGGAGAGCTTCTCTGATTTAACCGCTGAACATATGCTGATCTCCCTTGTGTTCAGGTGTCAGGATCTTTCTGCTCGAGCTGCATCAGTTTAATAGCTGTCAACATGCCACAGGACAGACAGTTTCAGCAGTAGACAGCGCCCCGATCTGATACCACCCACGCCCCTGACAGGGAGCTGGTCTACTCTAATCTACTCAGCAGTAAGAGTGTGTTTCAGTTCGAGACCGTTGAAGAGTGAGCGTAGTAAGTTTTCCCGCACCGTTTCGCTGTAAGAATGGCTTGAGCGTGATCAGTATTAACGGAGGAGACACTTTTACCAGAACTCAGACTTTACCCAACAAAGAGAAGGTAAGATACATAAATTAACATCATCAATCAATGCACATTTTGTTTCTCATTTATTGGTTTAGCCGCTTTAAGCCTAGAGTAAAAACGTGCAAATAATACTGCAATTACACCTCGGTGTTTGGAATACAAAAGGTGGTCGAAATGTGGTTCCCTTCAGCAGTGACAGTAGTGAATCATTATTATTAACTGTCTGGCAACATCAAAAGATCCATAGATTGCATATAGCCACAGTTTTAATACTCTCACACGCCACTGAATGGGAAAGGCGCTCTCCATGGTGCTGATATCTCTCCGCGTTCCTCTGTCATTTACACATGCGCTACTTCACGCACTTATGTTGAGTTTATAGTACACGTGCCATAGTTTGTCGGTGGGTCTACACATTTAGAAAGCCATACAAAACATGTTTATATATAAAGCGACTAAACATTTTTGAATTATACGGCCATGACGTTTAGCATTATAGATATCAACAACAATATTGCACACTAGTAAAATATTGAGAAAGGAAACGAGGAGTTCTGTCCTAATTGAGCATCTGGTTTGTAAAACTAAAAATATATTTTTTTTAAAGCTGGGAACAGTCATACTGTCATTAATGTAATAATTCAATTAATCACCTTTATTTGGCAATCATCAATATATCATCGTCCCTCTTGTCAGTTATAGTGTTCCTCTGTACAGTTTACTCTGTTGGCTTCTTCCACTGATCTTACTGTTGTTGTTTTTGCAACAAAAAAAACAATAAGAGTTCACGAAACCGATCATCAATCATACATTCCTGGTGTATTGTTTAAGAAAAGATTCTAACTCATGAAGTGTGTTTGGTAAAGTACCCACTGTGGTCTATTAGAGGAACGCAAGATGTCGCTCGAGACCACACATTCAATCGTGTTCATTAATGACCTAAAACTCCTCCTCCACTGTCGGCGAAGGAAGAAACAGCCTGTACATTTCGTAGGGGCTGGCTTAGTAAACCACTTCATCTTGAAAGATGGTCCCTATATGAAGAGAGATTGGCTGTCTTTTGGATATTGTCATGTTTTTGTGGATGAATGGCGGTTTTTTTGCCTGAATTTCTTATCTAAACGGAAAGGATGCGTCGTCAACAATATAGAGAGGCCGTATGGATGTTGTGCGCCATTCTTCTTTGTTTATCTGACTGGTCTGCAGCTCAGATTTCGTACTCCGTTTCCGAGGAGGTGGACAAAGGCACAGTGGTGGGGAATCTCGTTAAGGATTTAAACATCAATGCACAGCAGCTGGAGGAACGGGGCTTTCGGATTGTATCAGGATACAGTAAGAAATATTTCGAGGCAAATTTAAGGACAGGAGCTTTGTTTGTTAACGAAAGGATAGACCGAGAAGAGCTTTGTCCGAATTCACCTAAATGTTCCTTAAATATAGAGGGACTATTGAGCCACCCTATGAATATTTATCGCATTGAGGTCATCATTATTGACATAAATGATAATGCACCGTCATTCCTCGAGCAAATCCATGTGTTTAATATCTCCGAGTCTTCTTCATCTGGAGAGAGGTATCCGCTCCCAATAGCCCAAGATGCAGACACAGGCAGCAATTCAGTGAAAACATACAAGTTAAGTCCCAACGAGCATTTCTCCATAGATGTGAGTAGTGGAGAACACGGTGTGTCTGCTGAGTTAGTGCTGCAGAAAGCTTTAGACCGAGAGAAACAGCCGATTATTAAACTAACATTAACCGCTGTAGACGGAGGAAAACCTGCAAAATCTGGCACCATGCAGATCCTTGTGAATGTGATAGACGTTAACGATAACACGCCTGCCTTTAGCAAGTCGCTTTATAAAGTAAGAGTACGCGAAAATGTACCAATAAGTACAACAATATTGAAACTAAATGCAACCGATTTAGACGAAGGTCCACATTCGGACATCAGATATTCTTTAATGAAAAGAGGAAATGTGAACTCTGCTGGAAAATTTACTGTCATTCCTGAAAGCGGTGAAATCATTGTAAATGCTAAATTGGATTACGAAGAAAGCAATGCATATGAATTAAGAGTACAAGCAACAGATCAAGGCGCTTCCCCTCGCAGTGGTTATTCTAAAGTGCTGGTAGAGGTTATTGATGTTAATGATAATGCACCGGAAATCTCTATAACTTCACTCATGAGTCCAGTAAAGGAAAGTGCGGAAATTGGAACAGTTGTTGCTCTGGTGACTGTGACGGATAAAGATGGAGGGCAAAATGGCCTTCTCAGTTGTAAAATTAAAGACTCGGTCCCTTTCACATTAAAGTCAAATTACAAAAACTATTACTCTTTGACAGTGGGCGGTCTCCTTGACAGAGAGATTGTTTCAGAGTACAATGTAACCATTACTGCTACCGACGAGGGGAGTCCGCCTCTTTATAGCACTGCTGTAATCACCGTGCAGATTTCTGATATTAATGACAACACGCCCCGTTTCCCAGAAGCCAACATTAATATTTACGTGAGAGAGAATAGTAAAGTGGGAGATATTATCACAAGGACAACTGCAGAGGATGCAGATGCAACTGAAAATGCTAAATTGACTTATTCTTTAATGGATAATTATCCGAAAGATTTTCCGATTTCAACATTTGTAAACATCAACTCAGAGACTGGA